TCCAAGTAGCTGGAACTACGGCATGCCACCATGCCCAGCTAATTTTTTTATTTATTGTAGAGACGAGGTCTCGCCAAGTTGCCCGGACTGGTCTTGAACCCCCCGGGCTCAGGCAGTCCTCTTGCCTCCTCCTTCCAAAGTGCTGTGATTATAGGCATAAGCCACTGCGCCTGGCTCATATCCTAGTTTTATCACCGTCAATCTCCTGGCAGTCATAAAAGTCCTTTTTCTAGCCAGGTGCAGTGGCTCAGCCTGTAATTCTAGCACTTTGGAAGGCCAAGGTGAGAGGATTGCCTGAGCCCAGGGGTTTGAGACCAGCCTGGGCAACATGGTGAGACCTCTTCTCTACAATAAAGCAAAAAATTAGCCAGGCGTGGCATGCCTATAGTTCCAGCTACTTGGAAGGCTGAGGTGAAAGGATCACCTGAGCCCAGCAGGTCGAGGCTGTGGTGGCTGTGAGTGTGCCATGCCACTGCACTCCAACCTGGGCAACAGTGAGACTCCAACTAAAAAAAAAAGTTTTCTTATTTTTTTGTTGCAATATTTATTGTCTGTGGTTACCATTGTTTCTGCTGCAAGCTGGCCAGATGAGTTCCTGTCCTGAGCCTGTGAGAAAAGAATCCTTCTCAGTCCATCTGAATAAGTTGCACCCTGCCGTCAGCCATCAGAAATCATCTGTATCCCAACCATTGCCCCATTTGAAAACACTCAGAAAAACGTTTGGAGCACCAGGGTTATTAGAAATGCCTGCACTTAGAGAAGGCACACTTTTGACTTAGTTTCCCCAGATCCTGGTCATCCAGGCCTGGAGGCTGCCCTGTCCACCAGGAAGCACTTGTGGAGAAGCCGTAGTAGTGGCGCCTGGACACCCATGGAGGAGAAGCCTGGGTGCACATTGCCCAAGATGGGCTGCAGCCAGAAGAGTAAGACACAAGTTAGTGTAGCCCATGATGCTATGTCCTGACCACGCCAATGAGGTCCAGCCCTGCCTTCTTAGTCCTCCGATGTTAGTGATCATTGCTGCTCCTAAACCACCAGGCACTCCTGCACAGCAGCCCCCATCCCGCATTCAGTGACTAGAGCAGAATGAGCAGAGGAGGGATCATAGTAGGCAAAGAAATCGAACAATAAATGTTGGAAGGGTGCACAGGTCATGTGTCAAGGCCTTATGGGTAAGCCTCTTTGAGGACTTTGGTTTTTATTCTGAGTGAGATGAGAAACCATTGGAGAGTTTTTTGGTTTATTTTGTTCTGTTTGTTTTAGAGCTATGGTCTCACTATATTGCCCAGGTTGGCCTTGAATTCCTGGACTCAAATGATCCTTTTGCCTCAGCCTCCCAAGTAGGTGGGACTACAGGCTTGAGCCACCACACCAGTTTTATTGCAGAGGAGTGAGGTGATCTGATCCATCTTAAGTTTTAACAGAGTTACTCTGGCTACTGTGTTGTGAAAAGAGGGAGGATGGCCAGATGTGATGGCTCACACCTATAATCCCAGCACTTTGGGAGACTGAGGTGAGAGAATTGCCTGAGCTCATGGGTTTGAGACCAGTCTGGACAACTTGACCAGACCTCATCTCTACAGTTAAAAAAAAATTAACTGGGCATGGTTGTACGTGCCTGTGGTTCCAGTTACTTGGAAGGCTGAGGTGGAAGGATCACCTGAGCCCAGCAGGTTGAGGCTGTGGTGGACATGAGCGTGCCATTGCACTCCAGCCTGGGCAAAAGAATGAGACTCTGACTCAAAAAAAAAAAAGAGGGAGGCAAGGGCAGAAGCAAGGAAACAAGTGACCATCCTATGATCCAGGCAAAAAATAGTGGTGACTTGGACAGGAAGGTGGCAGTGGTAGTGGTGAAAAGTGGGTAGATTCTGGATATAGTTTGAAGGCTAAGCCAACAGATTTACTGAGATTGAAGGTGAGATGTGGCCATTGCCTGACCATTGCCGCCCTTGCCAGGCCATTGTGGCCAGTGCCTTGCTAAGCTGTGGTGTGGCCATGTGCTCTTTAAGCTATGGCCAGGCCATGTTTTCTTAAGCATTGGGCCTCTCCCCTACCTTGGGGAGGTGAATCACTTCTTTCTCTCTCTAATTTGCTTTTTATTTTATTGTATTTTATTTTATTTCTTTTAGTTGGAATCTCACTCTGTCACCCAGACTGGAGTGCAGTGGCCGCTCCCGGCCACTGCAGCCTCAACCTACTGGGCTCCAGTGATCCTTCCGCCTCAGCCTTCCGAGTAGCTGGCCTCTAATTTACTTTTTAAATAAACTATATTTTCTAATCTAAAAAGAAAGTGGGATGTGAGAAATGACTCCAATGATTTTGGCTTGAGAAATAAAGAATGGAGTTGCCATCAACTGGGATCTGACCTGAGCAAAGGAATATTGAGAGCTCGATTTTGGATTCTACCCCCAAACTTTCCCTCCATTTTAAGTGTCTTTGTGAGTGATACTACGGACCATCTATGCAGTTTCTCACATTTATAGGCCCCGTGTAATCGTTCCAATATTGTTTCCTGGCATGCATCCAGTACCTTAGAAATCCAAATTCTGACCAGGCTTGGTGGCTCAGCCTGTAATCTCAGCACCTTGGGAGGCTGAGGTATGTGGATTGCCTGAGCCTGCGGGTTCAAAACCAGCCTGGGAAACTTGGTGAGACCTCATCTCTACAATAAAAAATTAGCCAGAGCCAGGCTCAGTGGCTCAGCCCATAATCCCACACATTTGGGAGGCTGAGGTGAGTGGATTGCCTGAGCCCGCGGGTTCGAGACCTGCCTGGGCAACTTGGCGAGACCTCATCTGTGCAATAAATCAAAAATTAGCTGGGTGTGGTAGCGCGCACCTATAGTTCCAACTACTTGGAAGGCTGAGGCGGAAGGATCGCCAGAGTCCAGCAGGTCGAGGCTGTGGTGGCCAGGAGCGGCCAGGGCACTCCAGTCTGGGTGACAGAGTGAGACTCCAACTCAAAAAAAAAAAAAAAAAAAATTAGCTGGGTGTGGTAGCGTGCGCCTGTAGTTCTGGCTACTTGGAAGGCTGAGGCGGAAGGATTGCTAGAGCCCAGCAGGTCGACACTGAGGTGGCCGTGAACGTGCTACTGCACTTCAGCCTGGGCGACGAAGTGAGACTCCAACTCAAAAAAAAGAAATCTGAATTCTTGGTCATTTTCTGCCCCTGCAGGTCCCTCTCTCTGGATGCTTTTTCCCCCTTACGTTCCCCGTGCCCTGGAACATCTGCTCCCTGTAAGGTCACTCCCACTGTCACTCCCCTGTGAAGTTTTCCCTGGTCTTGCCATCCACACAAAGAGTTACTTTGTGCTCCCATCCAACCTTTAGCTTATGTCCCCAAGAAGCCCATGGCTTTTCTATATGTGCCTAGGCCATACCACTTCTTGGATTTTCTAACTACAGAAAGTATTAGCTTAGGATTTCCTTCTACTTGAACCACCTCAAGCTCACAGGAGTACCGCAGGTTTTAGTGTCTTGTGGCTGCTCATACCTTCATGAGCTTTCATCTTGAAACATGGAGTGGCTGGGCATGGTGGCTCATGCCTGTAATCCCAGCACTTTGGGAGGCGGAGGCAAAGAGGATTGCCTGAGTCCAGGGGTTTGAGACCAACCTGGGCAACTTGGTGAGACCTCATCTCTATAATAAATCAGAAAATTAGCTGAGCATGGTGGCGCATACTTGTAGTTCCTGCTACTTGAAAGGCTGAAGTTGAGGGATTTCCTGAACCCAGCAGGTCGAGGCTGCGTGGCCATGTGCATGGCACTGCATTCCAGCCTGCTTTCATACTTTCATACTCAAAGAAAGAAAGAAAAAAGCATGGAGCAATGTCAGTTCCTTCAGTTTTCTCATATGGAAGCTACTCAATCTTGGAGCTTTCTTCAGGGCTTTGTCCAGCTTTGATTTGCTCACTTTGAGTGCATGCCAGCTGCAGTGCACCCAGAATAGGTGTGAGGGCAGAAAGGATATTTTCACTTCCTTCCCCCTCCTATTGGAGCCAAGTGTTTTCTGACCTTTGGCCACTCTAACCTGTTGGACCAGTGTTTTCAAAGGACAACCTGCAGGAATTATTAATATTTTTGTGTTGGAGTCTCATTCTGTCACCCAGGCTGGAATGCAGTGGCAGATTCATGTCCACTACAACCTCAACCTGCTGGGCTCAGGCGATCCTTTCACCTCAGCCTTCCAAGTGACTTTAACTACAGACATACACTACCACGCCCAGCTAATTTTTTGATTTATTGTAGAGATGAAGTTTCACCAAGTTGCCCAGACTGGTCTTGAACCTCTGGGCTCAGGAATCCTCTTAACTCTGCCTCCCAAAGTGCTAGGGTTACAGGTGTGAGTCACCATGCCCAGCTAGCAGGAAATCTCAAAGCCCTCTCTGAAGTTATGATTAAGAGTGTAAAGCCTGGCCTGGTGCGGTGACTCACACCTATGATCATAGCACTTTGGGAGGCCAAGGTGAGAGGATTGCCTGAGCCCCACGGGTTCATGACCAGCCTGGGCTGGCGAGACCTCATCTCTACAATAAATCAAAAAATAAGCTGGGTGTGGTAACACACACGCTTGTGGTTCCAGCTACTTGGAAGGCTGAGGCAGAAGGATCACCTGAGCCCAGCAGGTCAAGGCTGCAGTGGCCATGAGCGTGCCACTGCCCTCCAACCTGGGCAACAGAGTGAGACTCCGACTCGGGGGAAAAAAAAAGGAATGCAAAGTTCATACCCCTTAGAATATTGATTAGATTCTCTTGCCCCTCACTGTTGACCTAATAAATGTGTGACGGTACCGACATGCCCACAAAGCATGTCTACCTCTCTAGTCCACCTGTATTAGGGTTTTGCAAAGAAAATAATCCAATAGGATATTTAGAGAGAGAGAGATTTAAGAAATTGGCTCATGCACTTTTGGGGCAGAAAAGTCCTAAATCCTAAGGGCAAGCTGACATGCTGGAAACTCCCCCTTGAAACTTTGAGATTTCCTATTGTGCCTTATTCTTAGGTATTGGAAAGAATGTGGTTTGTGAGAAGGCAGCAACATCAGTGGATGCCTTCCGGATGGTGACAGCCTCGCGCTACTACCCACAGCTGATGAGCCTGGTGGGCAATGTGCTGCGCTTCCTGCCTGCCTTCGTGCGCATGAAGCAGCTTATCTCGGAGCACTATGTGGGAGCAGTGATGATATGTGACGCTCGCATCTACTCAGGCAGCCTGCTGAGCCCCAGTTATGGCTGGATATGTGACGAGCTCATGGGTGGTGGGGGCCTGCACACCATGGGCACCTACATCGTGGACCTGCTGACCCATCTGACTGGCAGGAGAGCTGAGAAGGTGCACGGGCTGCTCAAGACCTTTGTGAGGCAGAATGCCGCCATCCGTGGCATACGACATGTCACCAGCGATGACTTCTGTTTTTTCCAGATGCTTATGGATGGGGGTGTGTGTAGCACAGTGACACTCAACTTCAACATGCCAGGTGCCTTTGTGCATGAGGTCATGGTAGTTGGCTCTGCAGGGCGCCTTGTTGCCCGGGGAGCTGACCTCTATGGGCAGAAGAACTCTGCCACACAGGAGGAGCTACTGCTGAGGGACTCGCTGAATGTGGGTGCAGGGCTGCCCGAGCAGGGGCCCCAGGACGTTCCGCTGCTCTACCTGAAGGGCATGGTCTACATGGTGCAGGCCTTGCGCCAGTCGTTCCAGGAGCAGGGGGACCGCCGTACCTGGGACCACACACCTGTCTCCATGGCCGCCTCATTCGAGGATGGGCTGTACATGCAGAGTGTGGTGGATGCCATCAAGAAGTCGAGTCGATCCGGAGAGTGGGAGACTGTGGAGGTGCTGACGGAGGAACCTGATGCCAACCAGAACCTGTGCGAGGCGCTTCAGCGGAATAACCTATGAGTCTGCAGCTGGGCTTCCAGCTATAGAGCAAAGGGACCAGGGAAGAGAATGGGAACTAGAGTGTAACAGGGGCTTGGCCTTAGCAGAGGCAGTGTCTTTCATTCAATAATGGGTTGGGGCTGGATGAAGCCAGAGGTGGCCCTGGAAAATCCCCTCCCCCCCAGCGGCTCATTTATTCAGACTTGCAGGGTGGTGAGTGTTCCTTTCACTATGGCTCAGAGGCTAGTGCAGTATGCACAGGACAGAGCTGTCACCAGGCCTCTGCATGGTTGTACTTGTAGAGCAGGGCCAGGAAAAGCTTGACTTGTGGGTCCTTCATCCTGACTTGTGGTCCTAACAGGATGACAAAGCACAGCAGGAGCCAGCTTAGCTGATTCTGGAGGCCTGGACAGAAGTAACAAGAAGCCTTGTTTCCATGCCTTCCTTGGGCTGGGCATTTCATGAGCGGTGAAGGCAACAAGTCATCCCTCAGGGATCCTCACCTGCCCTTCCATATGACCAAGTTTTGCCAGCCTCCAGGCTGACCCTTCCCTGGTAGGGAGGAGGGGGTTTATTAGGTGAGCTCTCAGGGACTTTTGACCTAAGGAAGAAGGCCCCTGGTTTGGCAGAGAGGAGGCAAGGGAGAGCTTTAGAACATCTGATAAATGCTAATAAATTAGAAAATATGGCATCACGGCATGTGGTTTCTGTTTGGTGGGTTGGGTTTCTTTAATAACAAAAGCCTTGTTCATTGCTGTAGATTGTTCTCTTTCCTCATGGCTCCAAAGCAGATCAGAGCCAGCCGTGGGTCCATCACCATCTACTGGGCCACATAGGTTCCTGCCACTGTCTGCCCTCGTCCCAGTCTATGCCCTCATGGCAGAGTCCCAGGAGCTCTCCAAAGAAAAGCTTAACTCAGAACACAGCACTCAAGAATTGCAGGCCTCCCTAGGCTGGAGGTCAGGAGATTCTGTTCTTGAAGCCATGGTGATAGCTCTCAGAGAGCCCTCGGAGAGGGGAGTGAGGAGTGGTTCCTGGGAGGAAGGACAGGAAGGTGGGAGGTGCACATGAGGAAAAAGGGCTCCACGCGCCGCCCTTGGGAGAAGGTTTGGCTGAACGCTGCCTGACCCAGCCAGCCATTCACCAACCATGCCTTCTATTGACTCTTCTACACAGAGACAGCCCCTTAACCATGTCAGTCAGAGGTGAGGGAGAGGGGTGTTAAGAAAAGACACATCCTCCTCTTTGTTTCTTTTACCAGCCTACCAGGATCATTAAGTCTAGACTAAACTCTGTTCCCTTCTCTGACCTTCCTCTCTCGTCCCTGCCCAGAGCTTGCCAGGAAGGCCCAGGGAAAGCTTCCTCTTTCTCTTGGCACCCCTTACAGAAGTCACCAGGCCTGTTTTCCTGTTGTGTCCTGGCTTCAAACATCATCTTTGTGAAATAAAATAATAAGGGTTAGTGTTGGAGTGTGTTTATTGCATGCTGGGCCTCCCAGGGTAAACACTGCATGTATATTATTTCATTTACTCTCCAAACCACTCTATGAAGGTACTACTATTAATATTCCCATTATTCAGATCAGAAAACTGAGGCACAGAGGGGCCAAGTTACTTGCCTCTTATTGTCAGTGATGGAGCTGGAAGCCTGGTGAGAACCATCTGACTGCAGAGCCTGGCCCTGAATTGCACTTTGTCCCAGGACTTGTGAATCTCCAGATTCTTGCCTCTTCCTGAAGCAGGAACCTCAGCCTGGTTTGAACTAGGTGAGCTACAACGAGCACCTACCACCAGACAGGAGTTAAAGAGGCTGCCCCCTTGTTTCTGGGACAGTAAGCTCAACTCAGCTCCAAGTCAGTCTTTTGTGTTACAACGACATTGAGATCCCTCCTGAATTTGGGAATTGACCAAGAAAGCACAAGTTTGAGTTAGTTGCATCTACATGAGAAGGGGCCGTGTTAGTGACCCACAGTGAGTGGCACTTAGGTTTTAGAGGACTCTGCTGTTTATAAAGACAGATTCCTAGAAGTGATGGGGCAAACTGCAGTGTGCTTAGTGCAGAGCTACTTTATTGAGAACCCTGGTTGCTCTGAGGGCATCCCCAGTGCATAGATCCATGGCCAGAAGAGTACATCACCTCCACCTTCCTCGAGCATCTTTACCTTCCTATATCTCTTGGGCATCAGAGCCACTTGGTCCTACATTGGGAAGGGAAGGTGTGCCCAGATATCTGCCTGTGGCCAAGGGAGCCAGCAGGGTTCAGGTCCCTATAGGTGACTGAACCAACACTTGTTCCAGGCTTGTCTTGCAGCGCCCCCTCCTGGGAGAAGGTAGTAGCGTTTTTCAGGACCTGTTTCCCAAATCCAGGATGCTACCAACTCTTCCTTTGGTCAAAGTTTTTCTAGACCGGTGAAAATGCAGTTAGCTTTTCCCAAAAGGGAGCTTCCAAAATACCTGTTGTTTAACTATCCTTCAGCCAAATCTAGGCCTGTTCTCACCCGGACATTGCAGCCACTTCCTCACCTCCCCGTCCCCAATCTCCTTTCCTCATTCTGCCCTTCACACTGCTGTCCAAGCAGCCTCTCCAAAATATCCATCCAAGATCCCTCCTTGTTCACACTCCTTCTCCTCTTCACTCCCAGACTTGTTCAACTTGGTCTCTTGTTGGCCATACTCTCCTGTATGGGGCTAGCATCTTCCACTCTAGCAGGGCTGTGTCCCTGGCATATCCACTGCCTGAAAGGCACCAGTTTCACTCCTTCGGGAGTCAGCTGGAGGACTTCCTGGCCACCACTTCCACCACCTGTGATCCCAAGGTCTTGGTCCTTGGTCACAAGCCTCCGTGAATCATGCAGCATTACCCCCTTCAAGTGAGCTTCTGGGAGAAGTAATGGCCTGTTCCTTTCTGTGCTCCTATCACCCACCCTGCTTAGCCAAGCCCACTGGGTAAGAGGCCTCGGAATTGTAGATCAGTCCTTTCTTCCATGATTACTATTTCCTACTCCACCTGTGGGAAGACAGGACCAGAACCTACTTATCAGCACTGGCCTTGCTTATACCTTCAGCCCTGGAGACCATGCAGAGAAAGCAGATGCTTGGCCTTCTTGGGTCAGGTTTTAGCCAGAGAGCCTTCGGGTCCACAGATTCTGCAGAACTCAGGAGAGGACGGGGCATTCCAGGTCCCAGGGTGTGGTCTCACACAAGGCCACTTCTCTTCAGACCTCTGCTTCCTCTTCCATAAAGTGAGGTAACACTCAATTATCTTGAAAGGCCCCGACCTCTGAAAAATCCTAAAGAATCTGTGCTCGACCAGGCTTGGTGGCGAAGCCTGTAATCCCAGCACTTTGGGAGGCCAAGGTGAGTGGATTGCCTGAACCCTTGGGTTCACTATGTCATCTCTACAATAAATCAAAAAATTAGCCGAACGTGGTAGTGCACACCTGTAGTTCCGGCTGCTTGGAAGGCTGAGGCCAACAGATCACCAGAGCCCAGCAGGTCAACGCTGGAGTGGCTGTGAGCATGCCACTGAACTCCACCCTGGGCAACAGAGTGAGACTCCAACTCACTTCATCTTACTCATCCTTATGGGCAAGACTAGCATGGCACTAGTGGACAGTATCACCTAGGGTGGTCAAATCACTACCCAGGGAGGTTTGCAGCAGAATAAACATCCTGACCCTATGGCTTGCCATGAGGTCAGTGAGTATCTGAGTGACCCCCCCCAAGAAGGGAGCAGCCAGGATGATGCCAGGAAAGGGGACCATGCCTATTTCTATCCTGCTTCCATCTGGGCCTGCCCACCCCACTCTCCTCAATAATGTTATTCCAGGGGACCTACACAAAATTGTGAATTTCAGATGGCTTGAGCACTTCTAACCTGTCCCTTTCTGCAGCCTCTTCCACCCCTAACTTTGGTCGTCTTACCTCGGTACCCCTTAGGGAGACCTTTGCTAGGTAAATGTAATGCAACGACATGAGTCCTTGGGGAGTTCACAGTCTTGTCCTGAAGACAAGTATAACCTACATGACAGTAGTACATGGATGCTACAATGCAGGGTGACAGGGGCTGCTGCTTGGCTCAGCAGGAAGTTTCAAGGGCATGTGTCCACCTGCCAGGGGGAGGGGTGAGGAAATAAAGACATTTTAGACAGAAGAAGCCCTACATGCAGAGAGCAAAGGTAAGAAAAGGTGCAGCTGGTTGGGGAGTTAAAGGAAGTTGCTGAAAAGTTCTAAGGTAGCTGGGGCAACGGGAATGGGATGTTAGATGGGGACTGACACCATCGGGGGTTCAGGAGTATGTGACACAGCCCACTAGATGAAACTGTGGGTGGAGGGATGACAGGCAGGGTGACCAGTGAGGCTCTCACCTGGAAATGACAGTGGCCCAGGCAAGGGTGCTGATTGTGGGGTGCGAAAAGTTCTCAGCCTGAAAGAGTAGACGCATGGGCCTTGATGTCTGATTAGCTTGTAGGAATCAGTGCAAAAAACAGGATCGGGTCTGGGTTGACACTCAGGATTCTGGCTTGAACATTTACACAGATGAGATACAGGAGGAGTAGCAGGTTGGAGGGAAGGAAAATTATCCATTGAATTGGGAAGTCCCTCTGAGGTATCTGAGGCACCCATAGGAGGCAGCAGGATGTGAGAGTTTCCAAAAGAATCACCACTGGCCGACTTTTCACAGAGAACCCTGAGGGTGGAAAAAGCAGTCATCCCATGGCTTGGCTGCAGGGCTCCAGGTACATTCACTGCCACCACCACCCCTGCCTGCCAGGAAAATGTCACTGATACCCTGTCACTAGGGGTGACTCCGGACAAGGTCTGATCCAGCTGTGGTCTGACAATGAGTGGAAAAATTTCAAAGCTGCCACTCTTGGGACAAATGAACCCTGCCTCCTCAGTGGGGGATCCCAAGTGTTGGTCCCCTCGAGGTCAGACCAAATGCAGACCTTCCCTAGTACACAGGGAGCAGGGCCAAATACCCCCTTCCCGTGACCTAACAGACCCTTTCTTTTTTCTGCCTTTCTTTCCTCCTCACCTCCCTCTTCATCACACCATTAGCCTGCTTGACCCTCAGGTTCATTTATTTTTATTTGTTTTAAATTTTATTTATTTATTTATTTTGAGTTGGAGTCTCACTCTGTCGCCCAGACTGGAGTGCAGTGGCCGCTCCCGGCCACCGCAGCCTCGACCTGCTGGGCTCCGGCGATCCTTCCGCCTCAGCCTTCCCAGTAGCTGGAATTACAGGTATGCGCTACCACGCCCGGCTGATTTTTTGATTTATTGTAGAGATGAGGTCTTGCTGCCCAGGCGGGTCTCGAACCCGCAGGCTCTGGCAATCCACTCACCTCAGCCTCCCAAAGGCACGGGATTACAGACTGAGCCACTGAGCCCGGCTTATTTTTTATTTTTATTATTATTTTTTGAGTAGGAGTCTCACTCTGTCGCCCAGGCTGGAGTGCAATGACACACTCACGGCCACCACAGCCTTGACCTGCCAGGCTCAAATGATCCTCCCGCCTCAGCCTTTCAAGTAGCTGGAACCACAGGCATGTGCCACCATGCCCAGCTAATTTTTTGGTGCATTGTAGAGACGAGGTCTTGCCAAGTTGCCCAGACTGGTCTGGAACCCCTGGGCTCAGGTAATCCTCTCGCCTCCACCTCCCAAAGTACTAGGATTACAGGCATGAGTCACCGTGCCTGGCTCCTCAGATTCATTTAAACACACAGACCGAGGCCCCAACCCCACTTCTGATTCAGTTAGGTCTGGTGTGGCAGCCAGGAATCTGTCATGATCCCCAGTGATCCAGATGACCAGTCAGGCTTCAAACCCTGCACTCGTGAGTCCTCTGTCCTTCTTCCCAGCCTCTTTCCCAACTCAGTCATCATATTTGGGGAATCACAAAGTTGTAGAAAAAGGTTTATTTTCAGTGAGCCCAAGGGGCAGGTGCCAGATTCCCCACCTCTACCAGAGGGTGTAGGCCCACAGGTGACTGTCTTGGTTCAGGCTCGGAGAAGGGAGCCACCAGTGGGGAGGGACAGTCACTTGTACTGAGGAGAGAGCGGGGGGACAAGTGGAGCAGCACAGACACTCAGCATCTTGTCAATGTCCACCTGGCTTGACTTATCCTCCTCAGCCTTGAGGTGGCCACTCGCCCCCAAGCTGGGCAGACCCCTAGGCTCCTCTCTAGTCTCCTCTCCTAGGGGAGCCAGAACCTGGGTAGACGGCACTAAAGTATTGGGGCAGGGCAAAGCAAGACTTGAGTCCAGCTCACCTGCCACAGGTAGCAAGGCCTGCAGTTGCTCCACACCTGCCTCCTCGGGAACTAGAGCCTGCTCCAACTCAGCCTCCACCTTGGCCTCGGCCTCCCTCTCCCCTTCCCCTGCCTGGTTCAGCTCAGGGTTGCAATAGTTGATGTACTGGTACAGAGGCCGTAGGCGCTGGGCCTTTCCTGCAAGGATCCAAGGCATGGAAGGGGCTGGAGCGCTAGGCTGTGCCATGCCAGGCCCAGCAGGCAGGGGGAGAATGAAGGGCCCAGGGACTGCCACTCACGCTCCAGCCGCAAAGTCTCTGAGGGTGTAGGCATTGTGTTGGCTGTAGCTGGGAGCACAGAGATTCCCAGGGTCTTGCGCTTCTTGGCTTTCTTGTGCTGTTTGGCAGATGGTGAGGACTCACTCTGGCTGCCCTCTGGCTCCTCCTTCTGTAGCAGTAGCCCTGGCAGCAGCTCAGCTTCGGCCCTAGGATTGGCATGGTAGCTAGGCTCTGGGAGGCTGAGGGACCAGAGCCAGGGACAAGAGGCTTGAAAAGACAGCCTCAGCCCTAGCTCCCGTACCCTGAGCCCAGGGAATAGCCCTGCCTGCCCACCACTCCAGGGTTAGATATCTGTACCCTTCCCTGTCAGTGAGGCCCCAGGCCCAACAGGGGCCCAGAATTCATGTGAGCTCAGTTCCCTACAAGATCTTAAGGCTCCATCTCCCATGATGTTCCCTACCCGGGGGTTCTTGAGGAACAGAAAGAGAGGAGAGTGATGGTAGTGGCAAGACTGCGGGATTCAGGAATCTACTGAGGTGTGCACTTCACCCTGGTCCCACCGCTCCTTCCCTCTGAAAGCCCCCTCACTTGACCAGCTTCCTCTTCGGACCATGACTGGGCCTCAAAATGGAGGCCGTGGGCCGGGGGCCTCTCTCCTCTAGTGCCTCCACCTCTGGCTTGAGCCTCTCCTCCTCCTGCTTAAGCCTCTCCTCCTCCTGCTTGAGTTCTTTCTCCTGGAGCTCTGGCTTTGAGGCTGCTCCTGTTGGACACCTGTCTTCCTCCTGGGTCTCGCAGGCCTCATGGGCTGGGACCAGGCACTGACCTGCCATCATTGGACACTAAAGGTGACACACAAGTAATTGGTTACCATAGCAAGGGAAATGATACAGACATCAGTCATTGGATGCCTAACATTAGGCACCAAACACAGGATTAAGGGCACCAGCCCATGCCCCTCCCTGCCTGTAAAGCCCGGCCTGGCAGTTAGGGGTGTTGGGTCACTCAGAGTTCGGCCTCTCAGAGAGCTGCGGCCAAGTGTTTGAAGGCTGACAGCCTTCCCGGTCACCTCAGAGGTCTGAGCTCGGCTAGGCGCCTCCACGAGCTGTGCCGGCTCCTGGGTCCCTGGCCGCTTTTCGACGCCTGCTGAGGTCATGGCTGCGCAGGGTCAGTGCACCTCGACAGTGGACTCCTGAGGGGCTGGACTGACGGCCCCTGCGCTGACCGAGAAGAGCGGCCGGAAAGCAAGTGCAGAGCTGGAAAGGGAGACAGGAAACCGCCTCACCCACCTTCAGCTGAAACTACAAGCCCCAGAAGGCTTTGCGCCAGAATCATTGAACCCCCCCCCTCGGGACGGAAGCCTTTGTTGCCTAGCAACAACAACTCCCGTAGGGTTGTTGCAGCTGGCGGCAAAACTGCTGGAGTGAGACCCTGCCCGAGTGTTGCGGGGGAGGGGCCACGAACGGGATGGGGAAGTGGGCTAGGATCGAAGGTCGCAGAGACGGCGAGCGCAGACCAGGACCCGGGGGCGGGTTGGGGAAGAGGGAGGGAGTCGGGAATGGAGGGCATGGCCACGGTCCGGGTCGAGGGGGGAGGCTCGGGAGGAGGCCCGGGGCTGGGGAAGGGGATCTGGGGCGGGAGATGAACAGCCCAGCAGGCCTCGATGGACCATTGCAGGGCGGCGACGACGGCATGTGCGAGGGCCCGTCCCGTATCTCGGGGCCCATCCCCCCAGACCCTACGATCTGCCCGGACTACTACCGGCGGCCGGCCTCGGGTGAGTTGATGCCACGCAGTGCGAGGCACTGGGGTTGGCCCCCCTCCGCCTTTGAGCCCCACCCTCCTCCGGGTCTCGCCCCTTAGCCCAGGGGCGCCTTGAGGGAAACGCGCTGAGGCTGGACCTGCTGACCTCGGACCGAGAACTGGACGCCACCCCTCCCCGTGGTCCCCGCATCGGTCCCGGAGCTCGAGAGATCCTGGAGCGCGGCCGGCACGGCGTGGGGGGCGTGCTGCTGCAACTCGAGGGCATCTCCCTAGGTCCAGGGGCCTCTTTCAAGAGTAAGTCCTGGGAAGAAGGCAATGAGGCAGTCGAAGGTCAAAAGCTGAGATCAAAAGGCAATTCTCCTTTGCTGACCTGGGCCCGGGCTTTGTCTCTGACTCTCAGTTTCCTCAACTATAAAAGGAGGGAACTTAATGAGATAGTCTCCACAGAACCCTAGCTCTGCTTCATGCATTTACCTGTCAGTGAAACGTTGTTATTAAACGTTTCTATTGTGACCAGGCCCTATAGGTGCAAGGAACACAGGGTTGAAGATAAGCATGGGCCATCATCGAGTCAAGGTGGGAGACAATAAACAAGTGAAAAAATGAACATAAAATATGAGATGATGACTGGTATACTTCACTATAAAAATGTAGAAAAAATTCAGGAGATATTTACTATGGAAGAAAAATAACCAAGTAATAAGGGAGAGTGTGTGTGTAGGGTCAAATTTAGATGGAGAGGTCAGGGAGCTCTCTTTCTGTTGGGTTGTATGAGCCATATGTAGGGCAGAGCCTGGCAGTATCTTTCCTCCAGGGAAGGACCCTAAAGACCATGAGAAGGAGAACCTGAGGAGGATCAGGGAGATTCAGAGACGCTTCAGAGAGCAAGAACGAAGCCGGGAGCAGGGCCAGCCTAGGCCCCTGAAGGCTCTGTGGCGCTCACCCAAGTATGACAAGGTGGAGTCCCGGGTCAAGGCCCATCTGCAGGTACCTGCTGCAGTGCCTCAGGGAGCCAGAAATATTGTCCATCTTGTTGGCCAACAGTACTTATACCATGATCTGAGTTCTGGGGAGGGAGGAAAATCACAGGGGACTAAGATAACCAAGGACTAAGAGATAACTGGCTCTGCTGCAAGATGGGGCTGGGGGCCTTCTCAAAAGTGATGGCTGAGCAGATCCTGAGGGTTGAGTAGGAATTAGGCAAGGGGAGAGTGGAAGAGAACATTCCCTGGAGATGGAGCCTCACAGATAGAAATCCTGAGACCAAAGGGACTGTTGCAGTGGCAAAGCTATGTAGAGTTCACTGTGAGATGGAAAGGCATGAGGTTAGGCTAAGAAGTCAGCCAGACTCACATAAGGGACCACATAAGCCACTTTTCAGCCTTTATTTCTGAAGACAGTGGGAAGGGGGAGGGGCAGGGGTATGGTGGGTTTTCTCTTTTAATACCTTTGTCAAAATAGTGACAGATAGTGGCACCATTCTTCTATCTAGGGACTCAGAAGGAGGAGCAGGAGTGAGAGAAAAGACAAGGTCACACATGGATGTGTTGAGGTGGAAGCATCTGTGGGACTCCCAGGGGGTAGAAGTCTGTCCAGGAAGCAGATGGATATTCAGGTTTAGATCTCAGGAGTGAGACCCAGGAGTTACTGATGATCAGGTTGAGGACAATGAAACCAAGAACATGACAATGGATTTGCAGGCTTGGAAGCCAGCCATCAGGAACCTCTTGGGGGCTGGTGCCAGGAAGCTTGGCTAGGAAGGAGAAAAGAGCAATAGCTAGACCAGAACCAAGGTAAAAGGAGAGATGGGTTGTCGTTTTCTTACATGATGAGGAGAAGAGGGAGGAGGACTGGGTGTGGTGGCTCACGCCTATAATTCCAGCACTGAGAGGCTGAGGTGAGAGGATTGCCTGAGCCCATGGGTTTGAGACCAGCCTGGTCAACTTGGCTAGACCTCATCTCTACAATAAATCAAAAAATTAACCAGGCATGGTGGCGTGTGCCTGTAGTTCCAGCTACTTGGAAGGTTGAGGCTGAAGGATCACCTAAGCCCAGCAGGTTGAGACTGTAGTGGCCATGAGCATGCCATTGCATTCCAGCCTGGGTGACAGAGTGTGACTCCAATTCAAAAAAAAAGAAAGAAAGAAAGAAAAGAAAAAAAGAGGGAGGAGACCCATAGGGATGAGGATAGAAAGGTCCTGAGGGGCAGGAGGGACAGAGGCGTGGTCTTGTGGCATGAGCCTGTGACCTCAGCCTGACTGTTCTGTGCCCTTCCCTCCAGGAGCCTGGCTCTGTCTCTGGGACAGAGTCTACCCACTTCCTGCGGGCGCACTCCCGCTGTGGCCCTGGGCTCCCACCACCCCGTGTCCCCAGCCCCGTGTCACCAGGTCCCAAAGTTAAGGTGAGAGGATGTGTGGGGGCTGGGAGGTGGCTGGGCAAGGATCTTGGTGGGGCAGGGCAGGGGACAGGTGCAGGGGCACAACACAGTGCTGTCTGCCTCTGTCATGCTTGTCATGTCCTGCAGGGGCCAGGCCTGGGTGTGGACTTCATTAGTTACAATGCTCAAGCTGCCAAGAGGGCCCCCCGGCGGCATTCCCGCTCGCTGCAGGTCCTCACACAGGTGCTGGAGCAGCAACGGCAAGCCCAGGAACATTACAACGCCACACAGAAGGGTCATGTGCCCCATTAGTAGGTCTCACTGCCTGCCAGCCAGGGTGAGGGGTGCTGTGGAGGGTGGGAGGCAACCTCTGCCCTAGGGTCATCAACCCTGAGCCTCTGCATCTGCAGCTTGTTGGAGCGGAGGGATCTGTGGCAGCGGGAGGCTGAGGCCCGCCAGCGCAGCCAGCCGGACCCTGCCATGCCCCCTGGCCACACTTGCATGCCTGAGAACCAGCGGCTGGAGACACTGAGCAATCTGCTCCAGAGTAAGTATTGGGTAAGGGGCTGGATGGGGAGCCCACTGGGGACCACACACCCCTTCTCAACACACTGTTCCCGGGCCCTCTCTAGCCCAGAGCCAGCTGTTGCGTGAGCTGGTACTGCTGCCTGCGGGGGCAGACTCTCTGAGAGCCCGGGACCACCGTGCTGAGCTGGACCGGAAGCTGGTGCAGGTAGAGGAGGCCATCAGGATCTTTTCCAGGCCCAAAGTCTTTGTGAAGATGGATACCTGAGCCCCTCTGTGGGGGTAGTGGCAAGGAGAGCCACGCTGAGGATCACCACTTGACTGCAAAGTGTAGGATCAGGCGGTATCATAGAGTGGAGGTCTGAAGACAGGAGCACTTTCCCCAGCCACCAGTGGCTGTGAAAGGGCCATTCCAGTCTTTTAATCCCTTTGTCAAAATTAAATCTTTTGTACACAGTGGGGTTTGTTTCCATAAGACTTCTTTTTATCATAGAAATGCTAAGCCCAGGACCCTCCTGCTGCTTGACTGCAAGAAGTTCTTCCATTATCACTCCTGCCTCATGGTGGGAGCCCAGGGCTACAGTGGTAGTGTGCAGGGCAGAGGCAAGCTTGTGGGACCAGGGAGGCTAGGGCTGGGACACAGAAGGACCATGACTACATTTGTAGAAAACCTTTAATGTTCCCCAGGCTGAAAGAGCCCTGTGAGCAAGCCAAACCTCCCCATTATGAAGTCCTGCCATGTCCCAGCAGGGTAGAGTGGCAAGAGGCTACATCCTCGCCTGTCAGAGGCTGAAGCCACTACCATCTCCTCGTATGCCACTCCCCCAACCAGAACCGATCTGCTCCTGGTCATCCAGGGAGGGCAGAGAGCTGCGGGCACCAGAAAGTAGGTAGCTGGGGTGCAGGTCCCAGCATGGGGGCCCCTGAGACAGCCCATTGGAACAGGGAAGCTGGCGGTTCTCAAGGACCAGATCACTGCTGTCTTCGTCGCTATCAGGCTCAGTAGGCCCAGGCCCTACAGAGGGAGGACCTGTCAAACGCCCAGATGCCCCTCGCACCACGTTATTGCGCTGATTGGCAGGCTTGACAGTGACAATGAGGTTATGGCTGTTGGCGACCATCATGTCCGTCACTTGGTCCAAAGTTTTGCCGGCTACCTCAATGCCATTGACCTCGAGGATCTCATCACTGACTGCCAGCAGCCCTGTACTCTCAGCCAGGCCCCCACGTACCAGACGGGAGATGAAGATGCCTGGAACGCGCTCCAGGCCTTGGGGAGCAACACGCACACTCATGCCATCGCGGATGTAGAAGCCCAGGGGGCGGTCTGAACCATGCTTGTGCAGCCTCACCCGTCGGTGGGTCTCAGGCAGTAGGTCCACATCTATGACTGAAGAAATCTGACGGAAATCTTGGGGCAGGCTGATCAGCAGGGGTGGCCGGGTGCGGAGGGGTGCCATTGGCCGCAGCAGGAGCCCTTTCTTGCGCCGCTGCAGAGAGTTGGAGGCAAAAGCCAGGCAGCTGGAGTCAGCTTCTGCTGCAGGAGAGGGGGGTGCTGAGATCAGAGACTCTGCTCTCCCACTTGGGCCCCTTACAGAGGGCACTAGCTATGTCCTATCACTTGGAGGTCAGGCCAAGGGCAGTGACTGCAGAGGGTGAACTTGGGTGCTCTGAGCATGGATTAACCCTTGTAAACATGCCCTTCACCTTACCCCACAAAGAGTGCCCACTATTCCCCTCCTCACCCCGCTTCTGCACCAGTAGGCGCAGTGGCGGGGGCCCGCTGGCCAGGGCCCGGTGTAGACTGTCGTCGTTGGTGAGGGGCAGCAGATCGCCGTGAGCATCCGTATAGCCAAGTAGCACATCCAGGCCGGGGATCTGGTGCACCGCACGCAGCAACCGCAAGAACTCCTGGAAGCCACTCACCGAAGCGCGGGGCAGTGCGAAGCGTCGGAACTCAGCGTCAAACTGGAGGCCGGGGATTGGGAGAGAGGAGGGGTCAGGACAGCCTGCATCCCTTTCTCACCACAAGTCCGAGGCTGGTAGGGGTGGGAAAGAAAGGGCTGCCGCAAAAACTGCAGCCTTAAGCCCAGACCTCAGCTCCAGTACAAGGGACGCTGTCCAAGGTCTTCTCCCCGCCCTCCAGGTACCCAGGCCACAGAGGGACTCTGGAGGCCGGCAGTGTAAGGAAAGAAGACGGATGGGGGAAGGCAAGCAGAAAAGCAGAATGGGTCGTGGAGGATGGTGAGGAGAAAGAGGTGGTGGGTGGTGGGAACCCAGGAGCCAGGAAGGAAAGGGAATTGGGAGCGCCTAGGGCCGAGACCGAAGCCGGGGCCGCAGGGGCCCTTACTTTGCTCTTCACCTCGACGATGCTAT